TCTTTATGCTGATAGAGGATGCTCACAGCTGATGAATGAGATGAAAGTACTCAGAAATCTTATTAAACCATTTTTAAAGCAGCGACTTTGGATAATTAAAAAAGAATTCATCTACAGATTAATTCACACTTCTAGGAATGCCAGCACCTTCGCTTTTTCCTTCTTGTTTTAGTACCGAAATTTGACCCTTGTAAGAGCAATTTCTTTTAAGTATTAGAATATGTATGTTTCTTTTTATACTTTCCTTTTCCATAAAGCTTTACAACCAGTATTTCTTTATTCAGATTAAAAAAAAAGAAACTGGGCAGAAGGCCTGCCTGGTTCTCCGTAAAGGATGGGACAACACAACTCAAGATGCCCATCTCCTTGGAGATGACAGAGACTTTTAGCCATGGCTGTAATTCTACATGTTCTGCTGATTTCTTTATTTTCTTCTTTTTTTAAATAGAAGAGTAATTACACAAATGGATTCCTAACTATGCACCAATTTTAAAAGTTAGCCACATAAACAATCCTTTCAAATGAAAAAGATACAAACATTGAATAAAATACACATCTTCTAAATTTATTGCTAGGTTTGTTGGAAAGAAAAGAATCAATAAAGTCCCAAACAAAATGAAAGGATGAGACTCTGCAAGGTAAGCAAGAAAGACAACTTTTGTTGTGAAGGTTTCTATTAAACCTCATAGACTGGACTTTAAATAGGGACTTTTTTTAAAGGCCCCACACTAGAAATAGAGATCACAAGGTTAGTCTTCAGAGTTTAAGGGGAAACTAGATAAAAATAAACTTGCCTATCAAAAGGTCCCAGTAAGTCCATCTGCAATTCTAAAACTTTGCATTGGATAACAAAAGGAAAGAATGTCTCTTGAGAATTTACAACCTTAAGCTGATTTTCTTAAGACTACCTGGTCTGAGTTTATGCTCTTCTACAATGGGTCCTCAAAGAGAACATTAATTTTTAGATTTTTTTTCCAGATAGATATGGACTCCATGTGAGTGTACAGAAGAAACACAGACAAACCCTTTCTAGGGGCGCTCAATAGTAATCCAAACCTCAAGAAATTCCCATTGATGAGATTCCTTGCAGTGATAAAATAAGAACCTCATTGTCAAGTTAACAACAACAATAACACTGCATTGGTTTCCTAAGACAGCCATGAGAACTTCTACATATTGGTAGCTGAAAACAAGAAAATATTCTTTATCACACTCTGGAGACTAAGTGTCCAAAATCAAGGTACCAGAAGGACCCTACAACCTCCAAAGTCTGCATGGGAGAATCCATTCTAGATCTTTCCAGCTTTCAGTGGAACTAGATGGTCCTTGGCTTCTGGCTACATCATTCCAATATCCCTTGTCTTCTGTGTCTCACAGAGACACTTGTCATTGGATTTAAAGCGCAGGATAATCTTACCATCAGATTCTTACTTTTATTTATCATAATAGCACATCATAATTATACAAAATAATGTGTTTCACCATGGCATTTTCAGAGATGCATATATCATTCTTTGATAGTATTAACCCTGCCTATTTTTAATTAAGATCTTTTTTTTTGAAGTAAAGCCACATGCAAAGGGTATGGGGGTGATATATGGATATATATTTTGGGGATCCACAATTCAACCAACAAATAAGCATGCAAAAAGTAGACCTCATCTGTGAGGACAACAAGAAATGAACACAGTGAAAATCTTGCCTCATTCCTCCTCCAGCGTAATATTTTTTTCCTGGAGTTAGATTTTCCATCTTTTGTAATGTGTTCACTTACATAACTATTTAGTACATTAAATAAATCACCATTTAAAGTATATTTTTGTCTAAGTAATACATATACATAGCTTTCAAATTTGCATAATGGTGAAAAATAATTACCCAAGTCCCTATCTTGAGTCAATTATTTTAGACCCTTTTACAGTTTCCTTTGATGTATACTTCTTATTTATGCAAATGTGCATATGTTTCCATCTATTAATTCCTCATTGTTAGACATTTTCTATTGATGCCTTCTTAGAGCTCTTCCCAAGCCCTTCCACCAAAGTGTCAATATTGTTGAAATCGCAATTTTTGCTAGAATACATACTTGGGTGTTTTTCCTTGACAACACCATTGGCAGGGGAGCTGAAGATATGTCTTACCACCACCTACAACTTTTTGTATTTCCTGGAGTTCTTTCACATTTTATTTGCACACCTTCTCTGAGTCTGAGTGTTTCTGCACTTGCAAAATATTTCTCATGCAGTTTTTCAAGTTAAACATGACAAATGATCTATTCTGTCCATTTATTTAAGATTTTCATTTTGACAATGTGTAGGTCTCTTGTTCCTACCAACATTAGCTGCTCTCTAGGTATGAGACCACTTTGGTCCCAGGACTTCCTTTCCCTTTCTGCCCTTGAATGTGAATGGACTCTCTTCCAGGTAGCAGACCAAATTTTCCTGTTTTGCTCACCTTAGTGAAGCACATCTTCTAGTTGCCCTCTGGAAACAAAATACATTGAGGGTAAACTTTTGGAGAATTTGCTTTCTGCAAATATTTTCACATTTCCCTAATACTGGAATGATAATCTGAGATGGACTTATTCATTTTAAGAGTAACATGATTTTAATAACATATAAAGAGAAAACTATTTTAAACCACATATAAATAGAAAATCTCCTTACCTCTTGTTTGTAACCCCTTTCCGCAGGCTTCGCTGGTGCCCATTATTCCCTGTCTGACAGACTCAGGCACTAGGATACAAGGACTCCATTTCTGTGGTTTCCATCTGTGATTATAAAGAAAAAGTGAACTAGAAATTCTATAATTTCCACCATGACAAACATGCAACAGAAATACTTGAAATAAATGGATCTGAAATCCAAAACCTGAAAGATAATAATTCAATAAAAATGGACTTGAAACCAATGTCATAAAACCAAGCCCTGGGGAGCACTGGGGATTGCAAATAGTCTCCTATTAATCATGATCCAAATTCATGATTAATGTAATAATTAATATTTTTTGGTTTTGAATGTTTTGCATAAAAACTCATACAGAAACAAACAACTGTATCTCGCATAGAAAAGTGTTAACAAAAAGCCCTAGAAGCACAGGTCAAATGGGTGCCTTATGAACTTGAGATTGCGTACAAAAGAGAGAAATGGGGTTGGGGGAAAGACCCTGTGTCCTACTGGAGCATTAATTAGAGAATCTCAATTTGAACCTCTGAAACCCTGGAGGGAAAACCCTTCAATACTCAGCCTTCTGCTTCACAATTTTTTTATATGATGCTTCCTAGGACTCAGAAGTAACTCAAACATCTCAACACGTTATAGAATAAAAGGTAAAGAGGAGCCCTGGGGAGCATCTTAACTGATAGTTCATCAGAGGAAAGAAGAGGAAAGGCACCTTTGTTGAAATGTCAAGATTTCTTTCCCTATGAGGAAATAGTTTTTAAGACAGTCATCTGGCTTTCCACTTTTTTCCGCCCTTTCTCAGGCTAATAAAACTCCTACTTTTATGACTCAGGAGGGCAGATTATAACTTGGTTAATTTAATCCTTAATCCTGTTACTGTATAGTGTTTCAGAAAAGCTAACCTCTAAATCTAATCATAGATTCTATTATTTAGTGTATCTCATTTTTCAATAAGAGCAACTTTTGTTAAGAGAGCTACTTAAAAAGAAGAAATACGAACTAAAAATATCATTGACCTTATTCAAATGGCCACCATAAAGGGAATAACTGAGGAGTTATGAGAAAAATCAGGAAACAACTAAACAAAAATATACCCTGCTTCAAGAAGTCACCTTTTAATTTTAGTCACACATTTACTTTGGACATGGACAGATTTATTCAGCATAATTCGAAAACATAGACACTACAATGATAAAGGGTTTTAATTCAGCTTTTCTACCAAGATGTGTAGTTTATTCGGGTTCTCTGAGTTTCCATAGGCTTCTTAGACGAATGCAAGACCAGACATTTAATCTAGTTAAATAGTTTGCTGTACAGACTGAAAGGGAAGGAAGAAATTTTCAGAACTCCCATGTGAAACTTTCAGGTTTAGGATGATAAACCTGAGGTCAGACAGGTTAAGTGATAATTTGAGACAGCCTAAATCAGCACGGGCCAGTTTTCAGTCCTCAGTCTCTGAATACTCAGCTATAGACCCTTGGTTGCAGCCCACTGCCAAGTCTATCTAGGAATAAGGTTCTCATGCTTGTTCCCCTTTTCTTACTGCTTTAATGAGTTGAGATATGCTCTAATTCACAGAACAAATAATTAGGCACTTCTGTTTTGATTTGGTAAACATATAAATATGATACATTAATAAAGTTAAAAAGAAAGATGAAGATAATGATAAACTTGCATGTCTCTACCTTAACTTGCATCTTAAGATAATACCAATAAGGGGGAAAGTAAAATCTAAAGTGGAACCATATTGCTCAAAACTAAAGAATGGTTTTCTAAGGAGAAGAATTTTATGTTAACTTGGATACAGTTTGAACTACACATCAGGAGATACGATACAATCTTCCAGTTCATACACAGTGGAACTGATTTCTGGGGGAAATGGCAGGAGGTCAATAACAAAAACTAGGTCAAACATAAGTGGTTAAATTGAAGTGCAACCAGATAGTAAAGAGATGGACAATAGAATAGCCTGCTAATAGTTTCTATAATTACGTCTGATTATAATAGCCCTGGGTTCATACTGATGTCTAATAATATTTGATTTGGCTAATTTTTCACTTGACTACCTTCCTTGAGAGCTCTTTTGCAGGCCTCAGAAGTTTCAATATTTAGACATAGCAGTAAAGGATGGATATTGACAGTGTTTCCACAATGGTCCTGTGGTTACTGAAGAAAAAATGGTACTCTAGGCTTGATTCCAATTTTTTTTTTTAACATCCTCCCCAAATTGGGCACCAGACAAAAAGCCCAAAAGTAAAGCATGATGAAATCGATAGGTATTTGGACTCCTTCAATGACCCTCTTGAACTTTATTTAAAGTAAGGACTTTAATCGGAAGCTGGCCCTGAAATGGCACCCGGATAAAAATCTGGATAATGCCGCAGAAGCAGCTGAACAATTTAAATTAATTCAAGCAGCATATGATGTGTTGAGTGACCCTCAGGAAAGAGCATGGTATGATAATCATAGAGAGGCCTTACTTAAAGGAGGGCTTGATGGAGAATACCAAGATGACAGCTTAGATTTGCTTCACTATTTCACTGTTACCTGTTATTCTGGTTATGGAGACGATGAAAAGGGTTTTTACACAGTGTATCGTAGTGTTTTTGAAATGATTGCAAAGGAAGAACTGGAATCTGTGTTAGAGGAGGATGTTGAGGATTTCCCAACTTTTGGAGACTCCCAGAGTGACTATGATAAGGTAGTCCACCCTTTCTACGCTTATTGGCAGAGTTTCTGCACCCAAAAGAATTTTGCTTGGAAGGAAGAATATGATACACGGCAAGCTTCAAACCGCTGGGAAAAACGAGCCATGGAAAAAGAAAACAAAAAGATTCGAGACAAAGCAAGGAAAGAGAAGAATGAGCTTGTTCGGCAGCTGGTAGCTTTCATCCGGAAAAGAGATAAAAGAGTGCAGGCACATCGGAAGCTTGTAGAGGAACAGAATGCAGAGAAGGCGAGGAAGGCTGAGGAGATGAGACGGCAACAGAAACTAAAGCAGGCAAAACTGGCAGAACAGTACAGAGAACAGAGCTGGATGACCATGGCCGATTTGGAGAAGGAACTCCGGGAGATGGAAGCACGATATGAAAAGGAGTTTGGAGATGGATCAGATGATAATGAAATGGAGCAGCATGAGCTTAAAGATGGACAAGATGGTAAAGATAGTGATGAGGCGGAGGATACTGAGCTTTATGATGACCTTTACTGCCCAGCATGTGACAAATCTTTCAAGACAGAAAAGGCCATGAAGAATCATGAAAAGTCAAAGAAGCATCGGGAAATGGTTGCCTTGTTAAAACAACAATTGGAGGAAGAAGAAGAAAATTTTTCAGGATCTCATATAGATGAAAATCTATTGAATGCCAATTCCGAGGAAGAAATAGAAGACACAACAAAGCAAAAGCTTTCTAAAAAACAGAAGAAAAAGAAACAAAAACCGGCACAGAATTATGATGACAATTGTAATGAAAATGGACCTGGAGAAGGAATAAAGGTTGATCCAGAAAATATCAACTTAAATCAAGACAGTGCCAAAAAATTAGAAGATAGTCCCCAAGAAAATGTCAATGTCACAGAGACCATTGAACCTTGTGATGATCCAAAAAGTGAAGCTAAAAGTGTTCCTAAGCCCAAAGGAAAGAAAACCAAAGATGTGAAAAAAACTGTCAAAATACCTGCTGAACCACAAATACTGAGTGATATTCTTATCAGCTGTACAACCTGCCATAGTGAATTTCCATCCCGGAATAAACTTTTTGACCATCTGAAAGCTACCGGTCATGCAAGAGCACCTCCATCTTCATCTTTAACCAGTGTAACAAGTAGTCGAAGCAAGAAAGAGAAACGTAAAAACAGATAGAAATTCTGCCAACACACTTTTTTTTAAAACTGTCTCTAAATTTTGAAACCAAAAACTGAACTGAAATCATCTAAAGAGTTAAAATTTCAGTGATCTGCAATTTATTGCATTGTGGAAGATTATTTTTTATCTTATAAAGACATTTTTTTGTTTAATATATATATTTTTAAACATTTCACTAGTGATTGAATTCTACTTTTGCCGTCTGAATTGACTTGAATGTCTCAAAACAGGTAAATATTGTAAAGTGTGTACCTTGATTTCTCACGTGAACAGAGATGTACAGGGAGAATTAAATTATTTTAACACAAATGCCCCTTTTTCCTTCATTTTGTGAATTTCACACTATGTATTTTTATTTGTTTATTGCTTTTAAATTTTGATTTGTAATCTGTCAAAAACTCAGATCGTTTAAAAATCACCCTAGGTTTCTTTTCCACCTGACACCATGACTCCAGTTCTGACTTTTAAATTATTTTTAAATAAGCAATTGTCAAGTACTCTGTTCTTTTTTTTCCTCAAGGACAATGATAGGTGGGAACTAATTAAACATGTATGATTGTGTTTCAGGAATAATATCTTAAAGCCTAGTATGGTGGTGGCACACTTGTAATCCCCACTACTCAGGAGGCAGAGGCAGGAAGAGGGGTCATAAGTTAAAGGCTAACCTGGGCAATTTACCAAGACCCTGTCTCAAAATGAAATAAAAAGGGCTTTTGATGTAACTTATTAGTAGAGCACTTGCCTAGCATGTGTGAGGCTCTGGGTTCAACCCTTCGTACTGCCAAAAGATACATTTTTTTTTTGTTTTTTAATTCTGATTTGAATTGTAGAGGTAGAGGCAAATCAATTTAACTGGCACTTTCTCCATAGACATGGTGATGTTTATGAACGTAACAGGTAGCAAGCAGATGTTTCCAAATTTTACTGACTCCTTAACAAAGGGTTTGTTCTTCATTGAGTTTCTTTCTTGTTTTTTTTTTTTTTTTCTTTTCATCATTCAATGAAAAAAAGCTTTCTTAATGAAAGATGATTTGATAGGGCAGATACTTGAAAGCCATCTACTCTGTAGCAGTGGTGAATATAAAATCAAAAAGAAGCTAGAGAATCATTATAACTGTGTGTGACCAAATACACAATATAAATAAGTGGTGAGTCAAGTTTAGAATAGATTAAATACTCCGTTCTTTAAATTGGTCTTGAAAGTGATTTTAAACTCACCAGCTTGAAATGTGTATTTTCTGTTTCATGTGATTATTCCTGATCTTATATCCTCAAATCTTCAAATGAAGGAAATGTTAATATGTGTAAGCTCTGAAATACTAAGAGTCCTCAATAGCAAGGTCTTTTCTGATAGCTTTATGTATAGTGTTGGTTATTGATTCTGTTACTGATTTAAAAATATGCATTTGAGTCTTAATTTTTTTTTCTTTTGTATTTAAAGATTTGGGGTTTTGGTTTGTTTGTTTTTTAACCATATTACTTTTCTGTTTTTAACTACTATTATTAATTCCTTGCAATTGTTCTTTCCCCAACTTTCTCCATCTTTCAGGGGCAATACTAGCCAGTTTTGTATATTCTGATCTTTTCCTCCCAGACTTCATTTGAACACTATCTAATAAAGTTGGTCATAATTATGAATAGGAATGTAGGTAAATAGAAGCACATGTAAGTCACATATTATTATATAGTGAAAAAAATATAAAGATATTTTAAAGGGCAGAGAGTGGCTTATAAATGTTCTTTAAACCTTCTTTGCTTTCCTCTGTATTGACCATGCTTGTGTTTAATTTGTTTTTGCTTCATGTGAGTATTGATTGGAGTTACTTGTCACTGTTACTCAGTTTGACAAAAAAAAAAAATAATCAACCTTACTTTTCAAAAGATAAAAAAAAAAAATTAAAAAAA